CCCAAAAGAACCCAAAATGAATGAGTAGACAGAACACCTTGATCTCCAATTTTGGACGTATACATAGTCAAAGGAAGAAATAACCCAAGAAAACATATCATTACAAAAACTGGAAGGGCCATTAGCATCAACAGGCAGAGGTAGAGGATATTTTTGTAAAAGTATTGTGGAATAAAATAAATAAATTTGAGTCATAATATTTATGATATCCTTAATGTTTAATAAAATTTATGAGAACATGAAATATATAAATAAGAAATGGAAAATACCATGACAAAAAAATAAAACACATTTGTAAATACCAGACATGGAAAAAGAGATGCTTAATGATGTAATCAACACTTAAGTAACTCATTTTAATTCTGTATTAAAGCATTAGATATTTTAGGAAATTGTAGCATCCATAGTACTTATGGAATAATTGATGAGGACGTTATCCCTCAAAGAGGAAAAAATGGCAAATATATGAATTTTTGAGAGATTACTTACAAAAAGATAAAGAGCGGGGATGACGATGATATTTTTGAATAAAAAATCAAAACTAATAGAATATGATGATAATATTGTTATGATTAGGACTTGTGTACAATGCTGAATAAAGGTATTGACAGTGGGCATTCTGGTGTGTCTCTCAATCTAATGCAGAAATTTTAATTTTACAGTTTTCATTAAGTATGAACTGTCGATCTTTCGTGGATACATTTCATTAGTTTAATGAGTTTTTTATTATTCCTGGTTTGAGGATGGTTTTTATTTTACATGGATATTGACTATTTTCATATGCTTTCTCTGCAGTTATTGAAATGATGACATGGGTTCTTTCTTTTATTTTGTTTACATGGGGAGTTATATTGAATGATTTTCCTTTTTGTTTTTTACCTAATATTTAATTGACACATATAATTATAACAACAAACATAACACACATATATTTCAATTTAGAGGAAAACAACTGACTACTGACCAGCTCAAAATTCAGCTGAGGAGGGACAGAGAGAAAGGC